CCCTTTTCAAAAATTCTGGATCCGCCCCTGTGTGTGTGTGTGTGTGTGTATGTATGTTCGTGCGTGCGCGATCGCGCGCGTGTGTGTAAATTATTGTGGGCTTACGCTCGTGCTAGTATGTGATGGCTATCGCCGATCATGCCCCCCCCCACTCCTCGGTACGGATTTACGCCCCTGATTCGCACACTTCACGTGCTCATGCATTGCCGCCCCCCCCCAAAATAAAATCCTGGCTACGCGCCTGCTAGGTATATTTGCATTACTCTACCAAGTAACTATAAGGCCACAATTAAAAAAATCTTTGTTTGCCCTGACTCGACCCAGGCTGAAAAGTTTGTGTAAGTAGGTAGGCTTAAATCTTTTTTGAGGTTTTTTGTTTAGAAAGTCAGCATGGTGTCTACACGAGCAGTATATCTATTAATATTATGTTGAATGTTTGTTTTGCTTGGTACATATAATGTATATGCATACAGATTTATATAATCAGGAGTAGATAATACTATTAATAGGGAAGGAGTGTGACTTCAATAAACAAGGGAAATTCGTCATTTACTAGCCTTAGAATACCTACGATTTACTATGCGTAACTCAACCAACTTGTCAGTTGAGCTTAAAATGTACACAGTACATTCGCCTAGCATCGTGCGAAATCGTTTCCTCATATACACCCGCGATCCGGAGATACAGACTAAAACGTACGACACGATTATTCATTCTGTTGCCATCAATCCGAACGTATTGTCCGCCTGACTTGAAACAAAATGCAGCTACTAACGCTCGGCGATGCGGTGTGGCTCGCTGGGAGATTGGACATCGACGCAACGCTCGGCGAGATAACCTTTGACCCGGCATACAGCTACATACCGGCTTACCGGCATACAGCTGATATGCCCCCCACGCACGCACACCCACCGCAATCAGCAGCAGCTCCAGCCTCAATCTCCCAGCGAGCCATACCGCATCGCCGAGCGTTAGTAGCTGCATTTTGTTTCAAGTCAGGCAGACAATACGTTCGGATTGATGGCAACAGAATGGATAATCGTGTCATACGTTTTAGTCTGTATCTCCGGATTGCGGGTGTATATGCGGAAACGATTTCGCACGATGCTAGGCGAATGTACTGTGTACGATTTGAGCTCAAGTTGGTTGAGTTACGCGTAGTAAATCGTAGGTATTCTAAGGCTAGTAAATGACGAATTTCCTTTGTTTATTGAAGTCACACTCCTTCCCTATTATCTACTCCTGATATAATGTACAGTGATACAATTTGTAAAAAAAAAGAATGGGAAAGATCAATAAAAATGTTTGCGTCGGCCTCTTTTTGGCGGGTCGGTCGGGTGAGGGCAAACAATTAATATTTTTATTATGGCCTAAGAGCAAAAAATATGTCCATTCACTTGATAATGTGTTAATGGTATGTGGATACGCACCTTTGGATAGGGAGTACGGGTTAGTTAGCACAAAGAAACGGGCATGCATCGAAAGGCTGTGTGTTTTGACGTTAGTCTCACAGTCTGCTCCAACTAGATGAATATATAAACCCTGCTATACACAATGCAGCCCCCAAGAGCAGGAATATACTAATTGCAGTCATTAATTTTCAAAACGCTCCTGTGGTGTGCTAGTATTAGCGTCCTATAAAAACAACGGAATTTTTCTGCTGATTCTAATTCTGGCTTTAAAACAAACACAGGTCCCTCATAAACCACCCAACCGCAATGTCTGCGGTTAAACAAACCGGATATGATGTATGGCTTCACAATAGTATTGGACCATGGGAGAGAGAGAGAGAGAGAGAGAGAGAGAGAGAGAGAGAGAGAGAGAGAGAGAGAGAGAGAGAGAGAGAGAGAGAGAGAGAGAGAGAGAGAGAGAGAGAGAG